TATGCCTCGTCGTCGCGCCAAATAGCCTCAGCGCGTAAAATGGATATTATATTCGTTATCAGGACCTCAAATAACCCCTAAACGCAAGTTTTCAGCAAATTAGGTGAAAACACCTTTGGCGCCAAATTGGCGCCAATTGGCGCCAGATGGCGCCAGCGCCAAAAGTGAAGGTCATATTCGTTATCAAAGCATCGGATTTCCCCTATAGGCGAAGATTCATCGAAAATTAAAGTTTTGAGTTTTTGGGGTTGTAATGGTGGAATAGTACCATTGTCAGTTAGTCAAATCAAAGTTCACCGATGTCTGTGTCGAAATAAAACGCCGAATGAGCTGCTCCAACCACACCGCATTCGTATCCTTCATCTTTTGGCAAGCGACAAAGAACCCCTGAAACGAGAGCAATATGCAACAACAGATTACATGCGAATGGCTATAAAATTTTTGCCATTTATGGTGCTCATATAAATTGCTAAACGCGTCCGTTTGTTTATCGATGTGTTTAGGTGTTTGTTTGTGTGTATGTGGATGTGTCTGCGTGTATATGACAGAAATTCCGTAACTCCTGTCTCCCTGGATGTAGAGCGCCCAAATTTGAAATGGATACAGGCGGCAGTACAAGAACCCTGATAGCAGTCGATTGGGAGATGGTAAAGGCCTCAGAAATTGAGAGCAGTAGCATCAGGCCCATCGTGTTAACACTGGAACCCTGGCACGTTGGTAGGTGATGTGGGTGTAAAGGAATCATCGATTGTTAGTGACAAGGATAACGATAGAGGCTTATTGAGAGACATAGAATGTAGGAGAGACCGTGTCCTCTCTGTTACGCCTTTTGGATTATTAGTCGGAACCTGAAAATTTGAAGGGTAGAGGAGTGTGGTAGAACTGTGACGGGTGCTGAGAAGGAATGACGATAACTTATAATGGTTCCTATCCCATATAGCAGCGGCGCATTTTAAGGTATGTAGATAACAACCTCGCTGTTTGTTCTTAGTCATGGATTCTCTACTTGCCAATTACTTTTTTAAAGGCATTGGATTCGAAGTGAGCTTTACACGAGATCACGGGAGGAAGCCTTCTTTTGAAAAGAGTCCCCAGATATCCTTAGCCCAGCATAGTTCTGGCTAATATAGGGTAGTTTTGAAAAAGTTGTTGAAATGGAATACCTCCAAGATCCGCAGCTGAGATGATGTGTACGAGTGACAGCGAAATGAATATTATAATCATTGAACAGTTAGTGACAGGGTGCCCGTGAAAGGACAGCGACGAGTTCGTTGGGGATATTTGCTCGTCGCATCGCGCACTTGCACTCCTCAATCAACAAACACTCGTCGATATCACAACCAAATACGCGATACTTTGAGAGGAGGAGATCAGTGCGGGCGAGTACAACGACGCCAAACAATGGCCATCAAAAAGTTTGAGAGGAGGCCAAGAATAGTCGAGCACGTTTTTGGAAATTATAAAAAGGCATATGAAGTGCAAGTGACGTCAAAGAGCAAGTTTTTCCTCAAAAAGAGTAAGATTCTCGAGCTTTCAAGACCTCCCAGAAGGTACAGAGTGTAAATGGTGGGTTTATGTGTGGTTAAATGCAGTTAGGGGACGTGTGGGCCACCCCTCTTCCTCAACAGTAGCCGCTAGGGCGTTGAAAAGGAGAGATAGCCGGCTCTGAAAGCTCTTAATGATGCTCTCCCAACGAGCATAGTATACTACCCAGTACCGCTTACACTTTTTAAATGAAATTGAACAGTGTAAACTGAACGATCGATTTTCCCTTCCATCCCAGCTTGTTCGACGATGTCCCATCATGGCACTGTTCCCCTCCTGAGGCTCAGGAGAAAAACTCTATTTTAGTGGTAAAAAAACGTGTGAAACCTTTACCTTTACCTTTACAGGCTCGCACAACCAGCTACTTTCCCTCGTCCGCGTTTCAGCGCCTAGTGTTGAAGAAGTGTTGCGTGGCACTCCTGTTGTAGAATAGTTGAAGAAGAATTGTACGGATGTTTCTATGCCTTAAAAACTTGAACTCGTATTTAATGGAAGGGGGGCTTTTTGACGGCGTTCAGAGCCTTCGTTATTCTTGGCATGGATAGTCTCTCGTCCAAAAGTACAATACAAAATAGGAAGGTTTCCTGAGATTTCTCACCATACGAATCTGCGGGCTTCAAGGATTCCTTATCGGCCATTTTGGGTCGAAAAACTGAACAGAATAGGAGCAATAAGCACACAATGATATGTCGACGGATGATACCTCGAAGGAAGTGGTCATTCCAACCATCTTGTAGAATCTTCAGTGTGTTCAATTGAGCAAGTACCTGTTCCGGAACATGGTTACATTCGAAAGAGGCAACACCAAGCTAATGAATCTTACCACTAGGAACGGAATGGAGCCAGGCAATATACCATGGCAATAGTTAGAACCAATTTTTGGCGACAGGAGCTCTGTAGCCAACACTTGAACAATTGCATAAGAAAAGCCGGTAAGCAAACTGATCCGGAAACATTTACATCTGGTAAAGTCTGCGGATTTTTCCGTTTCTTTTTTTCGCTGGCGATGACCTGTTCTGCATCAACCTCTTCTATTATGAAGGTACAATTTCTAATAATTCTGAGGTATCCTTTCCAAAATGAAAAGTCAAAGGATTGGTAAGGAATAGTGCATCAGTGGCAAAAAAAAAACAAGTAAATCAGTCGACGTTGTAAAAAATAAATCTTCCTAAAAGTAGCGAAATAGAAATGCACGAGAATACCATTATAGAGATGACATAAGAGGGAAATTTGGAAAAAATCGAGGCGAAGTTGCCGAGCTTCACGACTTGTTGTTTAGAGTTCCTATATGGATGTCTCTCGCAAATGGTGCATTCTTTACAACTCCCTTAAATTCGTCCGTCTCTGGGTGTGGCGTACAGCGGCACTATATTCAGGCTTTTCTAATTCCCTATCTAGGTCGTTTTTCGATTCGAAAGCGGTATCTCAGGAATAATTTCTGTTTTTTTACAGTAAGTAGGATCAAAACGGAGTGCGCTATCAAAATTCTCGAGCAATCGAATATCGCTTCAATGGGATTCATGTTGGATATGACACTGATAGCCAATTCCCTTGTCTTTTATCATAGGTGCCCTTGAATTGCAGTCTTCTTGAATAGCCATGGATCTGAAGAACCTATTCAATTTTCAGATTACCTCCCACTTACATGTACGCTTTACACTGCCCACTGTGGCTAATGATTCTGATATCAGATATTAAAAGTCATACAGCCTGAACTTTCATCAGCAGCAAAAGCCCTGTCTACGTTTCAGAAGTTTCGAGAAACGAAAATGCCTGCACCATGCCACGGTGTCAGTGCCTCCACTCGGGTGTGGTGCGTTAGGAACGAAATGGACGGTGAGAGGGGCGTCGCGCGCGAAGGAATGTTGCAGGATGCAGCAGTAGGTAAGAAATACAAGAACAAAAGTACTAATAGTAGAGTATAGAGTAGAGTATTTGAATCATAAACAACTAATAGTAGAATTATGCATAAAATAATGATCGCATATCGATTGAGCTATTTGAAGAACGCTAGAGCTGTAATG